TCACATCACAAAATTTTTGTCTTCTTTCTAGAGCATTCGTTGTAATTCTTGGTATGAGTAGTTTTAGAATTTCTCAAAAATATGCATTTATAAACTTGATTTATAATTTTGCATGGCAGAAACTCTTGGGTGCTGGTTGTTAAAATCTGATTAGAAGGCAGTATATATATATATATATATATATATATATATATATATATATATATATATATATATATATATAATACCACTAAAATATATTATATACAAGGCATATATATAATATGCCTTGTATATAATATATTTTAGTGGTATGCCTCGTATATAATAAGGTACAACTCCTAAACTATACTTAGATAGGTAATACCTCTTGTCAAAAACATCTTTATTACATTATTTATGTCAATTAAATGGAAATTATTATTAATAAATTATTTATTTCTTAATTTATTTACACATTATTGTTTATAACACCTTTATAAAAAGGATTAAGGGGGGACTAAATATCTCATTGGTAGGCATTTCCAGTCAGTTTTACAATTATTATTGCATAATAAATTATTCATTTGTATATTTAAGTCAGGACTTAAAATTATTTATTTATTTATTTTATTTAAATCTTTACTTGCATAAAACATGGTAGTACAGATAAAGTTCCTACATTTGTAAATGAGAATTTATGTTTAATCAATCTATCTATAATTAAATATTTTGTCAATGTCATGCAATCAAATTACACAAAGAAAATTAATATAAATTACAATAAAATTATTACAAGTCATAATAATACAGAATGATAACAGAGAAATTTGAAAATAAAAAGTCAAGAACCATAAATAAATTAAGCAATGCTATTCAATTTTAATACATACAGAACAATGTAAAAAATCATAATTACCAACAAGGTCAAACTTATATTAGTTATGGGGAAACAACAAGACACAACTATAAATTATAACATTTTAAATATTTTATCTTAATTATATTATAAATTACATAAATTAAGCATATTTAGTCCGCCTAAAACAATGAGGCTCAAAATGTTTTGAGCATACACTGCTAAGTTTTGTTGGTTATCTATAATCACCAACAGTAGCAATTATCCAGCAATTAGGGATAGCTGATTCTTTAGGAAAGCTGTAAAATAATATATTTAAAAGAAATTAATATATTAAATATATAGTACACTTTTATATCAAGGTATTTAAAAAAAATTCAAGTATGAGTATCTGTGCATAAATACAATACCTATAACAATTAATACAATATCAAATGATTTAATTAAATAGCAGGTATATGTAAATGTAATTATAATATTATTCATACCAAACATTTAAAATAAATGTACATATTAAGCTTTAGATATTGTTAATTAATACATTTACAGCCTAACAAATGTCCTCTACAGCTGAACATAGACCTCCCACATAGTTTGTCTGCAAAATAACTGCAGTTGCCAATCCTCCTGCCAAGCTAGACAACAATCATAAAACTTATAACTTTTGACTTTTGATAATGATTAATAGTAACGGTAAATATATTATCATCAAATTTTTTCTACATCATCAATTGAGAATATCATCTTATGTTGTAGGTGTTATTGTGTACCTTAAGATTAAGACTTATTTATTTATTTATTATTTTATCTATATTTATATAAGTATGACATATTTAGTTATTTTTTAATAAATATTGTAATGTAATTGTTGCTAATGTATGATAGAATTAATGGAATACAATAAAGTTTTGTGCATGTGATTTCAGGCAATACATATTTTGTGAAATTAAATATACTTTGTCCAATACTTATGTACTTGAACCCAAACATGTTTTCAGGTTAATAATTACATATTATTTGTGACATCTATTAATACAGAAAATGATTGAAGAGTTGTATATTATTGCCCAATAAGGAGAGTTTCCTTTAAAGCTGAACATAAAAGTGTATGCATATGTATAACATTATGTGATTCATATTTATGTACATAACTACTAATCACAATAATAATTATTATTGAACAATGGGAAACACATTATTGTACTCGATGATATCCCTAAAGTTTCCATAATCCTACCAAGTCAAAAAGTACACGTTTGTTATGACTTTAAGCTTTGCAATGACCATTCAAATTAAGGAGCATTATCATGAAGAATTTACAATTTGGGAGTCGAAATATTTGACAAAATACATCACAAAGTTCATTAAAAACATGAAATGTTACACTTTATATTCAAAACAACAGATATTAATCAGTACAATTAGCAAATTTAAGCACAAAACAAACTTACCGATGAAAGGTAATATTATCAATTTTTCGTTTACTGATGCTATTGCATCCTAAAATGCTAAATCTTACCATCTTTTTCACCTTACTTAATAACTAAAACCCACGAAAAACACTGAATTCAATTACCTGTTTGCTTATAATATTAATGATGTTCACAAACGCTTGACATCGTTAATGTCAAATAAAGGAGGGAAAACAATCAAAAACGTATACTTAGAAAAAGACAAGAAATATTGTTTTGCTTCTCCCTTACTCTTATGTTTAACTATATACGTGCATTCCTTTCACACGCAGATGACGTCACTGAATGTTTAGTCTATAAGATACTATGTCTATGATTCAAACCAACGAAAGATGTTTAATTTTAATTTAAAAAAATATAGCATTTATATGTGTATTTTTACTTTTCTTAGTTTCATACAATGGTATATAAAGTTGGCAGTATTTAGTCATTTTTCACTACAGACTATGGCAGTATTTGGCAGGTTTTTAACCAAAGTGAGACAGGATCTGTATTTTAAAGATGGTCACCCTGATGACAAAATGGCGTCAGTGGGAAGGGGCAAGAGGTGGGAGGGACGAGGGAAACGTCATGTATTGAATTGCATTTCATCATAGAGTAGAGTAATATATACCGGAACATTTCATAATTCATAGTTCATACGGTCAAATATTTTGGCTCAAAGATTACCAGCCGTGGGTAAAACTCTTTGCTAGGAGTAAACGTATTCTGTGGGTAAAACTGGGTAAACCTTTTACGGATACAGTTACAGTACAAGTACAGTATTATGACTGAAAACGCCTATGGTACATCATCACCAATACAAGTAAACAAGAATCAAACAGAGGATCAATCACAAAAACAAGATGTTGACATGGATGAAGAGATTTCAGCACGTATGACTGCTTCTTATAGTGAAATATCTATTAATTCTGACCATGGCCACGGAACTAATCAACAAAGAGATTCAGGTCCTTCAAGACCCTATGATTTACCATCTGAAAACCGTAGACAAGATAAACTTCCTCTAGACATTGGAGGACATGTACGGTATGAAGGTGATATGACACATTATGTTGCTGATGATTTAGAATTCAAGATTAAATTGTCTAGTCCTATTGCAAAAAGAGGAGAGACCCCAGTGTTTGGCAGCTCCAGTGTATCACGCTCCAGCACACCTTCTGGTAAACTTTATAGACAAATATTAGCTCCACAAATAGGTCAAATTGATATTACAGTATTAAATGACCTTGAATATGAAGCACAAAAAATAGCACAGTCTGTTGATAACTTAATAGAAAATTTATCTAATATATTACATGCTAATTCATCATTGACTGCTGAAAATATGGATGTTTATAAAGATGCTGTTGGAAAGACTTGTGATGCAATGGATAACAATATTAAAAGTATGTATACTATCTTAGCAAAAGGCGAAGAGGTTTCCCAGGCAATGATTCCAGTGCAGGCACAGGCGGCTAGGATAGCTGAGATTAAGAGGCTGTTGCAAATTTTTGAAAACAATTTTTAATTCAGTTGTATAGGTCTAAATACTGTCTCACATCTCTAATATCATTATTAGTAATTTTTGGTAAGTTCTAGGTAGTATGACTCATTTTCTGTTTAGGAGTCGGTCTGGATGGGTACCACCTTTTACCTAATTCTGCTGCCAGACAGTAGTGCTTGCACTACTTTTTATTGCCTGAAGGGTATAGAGAGCCAGTATAAATGTGGCATTTAAATATTTCATGGGGGCCTTGTTGTGAATTTTTACACGGTAGAGCCATGCTGCAGCTAAATTATGGGTACAGCATGGGGCACGAATGAGTCGGTTCGACCAGGGAAGGACCACACTCTCACAGAGTACCAGTGTGAAATAGCAGATTAGGGTTGCTGTGTTTTGTATGATGAGTGTAGAGAACCGGAGAACCTTTTTACTGGAAATAAGGCATTCCAGCGTAGTCCTCGTTGGTGACAACGCATCTGCATTTTGATCTTAATAGAAGATAAATGTAAATAAAAAAATATCTATAGGCCACAGCATCCAGTTACCATAAGGTGGATTGTGTGCTGGTTTGTTACCTCCATTTTATAAAAACAAAAACACAAAGGGCTAACTTTGAAAAATAAATCTATTGAGAAAAGTTTTACCAAGCACATTTTTGGTTTTAATTTTGTTAGATTATATCCTCAAGTAATCATTATCGTAATACCAAGTCTATATCTTTTGTGCTGTTACTGAAAAAAGTATTGTCATTTGAGACAAAAAAAAAAACGCATATCCTCTTAAAGTTAAACAATTTCTTTTTTTTATTAAAAATGGGCTTAATCTTGACCTCCATCTGGCCAGAGGACAAAGATGAGGTCAAGGTTGATTTCTTACAATAAGTAATAAAAAATTTCTTGTAATAATAAAAACTTATTTCAGATAATTAAGTTGAATAAAACCTATTTTTACATTTGTTGAAATATTGTTTTGCTTTCATTTGAAACTTGTCTCCATTATCGTCACAGTCAAATTCCACTGAGTATTTTATTTACATTTTTGACATAAAGGTACATGAAAAAGCGGCAAGACAAATTTAATAAATAATTGATTTTATTTTTATGCAAATTTCATTTCAAAAAATCAAAACTACATGTATTACAGGTTTTTATTAATTCTTTAACATTATTTATATTTACATAATTCTTTAATAGTGTTTGTGTGCCTTGCACTGCAGATACACACACTATAAGACACTATAGAGACTTTCTAGGGTGATTATGTTAGCAGTATCTACATTAGCTACAATTTTTTTAGTGCATCGATCAAAGTATCCACTAACATAATCATATTCCCTCTCTATATATGCAGCAGTTTTCTCTTGAATATCAATTATTTCTACATCTGGGATTATTTCAAGGTCACAGGTTTTAACAACTTTGCAGTTATCTGTAATGTTAAGAGACGAAAGCCTTACAACAATTGTCTTCCTCAGAATTAACACCTGGAGCATTGACACTCGACATATTGTTGATTAAAAGCCTACACTTTATACGCTACTCTAGGCACTCTGAAACTGCCCCCTCTACGAATGGGTTCCCGCCTTATCATGGCGGGGGCCTATTAGTCGTGGCTTGGTTACCCACGGTGAACAAAGTGTTTTAACATGTCAATTGAATACTGTAGGTTTTATTGAAGTATTTAGTATTATATATATAGTATAATAGTATTAAGTAGTATTTTTTCGATTTTAGTTATTAAAACATAGGAATTTTGAAAAAACTGTTCCAGAACATTTTTCAGAAAATCACCATAAAAATTAAAAAAAACAAGTTACAAAAAAAGTAAAAATAAAAGCTAGAGTATAATAAAATTTGATGGATAGATTGTTTTATTCATCAACTATCTCGAAGTCAGGCTCTCTCCAAACCCATCAAAATCATCAATGATCTCATCAGAACTTCTTAAACTTTTATAAAATGGAAGACAGTCCTTGGGTATAAACATATAATAATAATAATAATAAGCCTTTTTTATTCTGAACTTCTTGGTAAAATGAATACATGTTCTTGTTTGTTATAATATGTCCCGAAGCTCAGTTTGCCTTTTGGCATAGGCCTCCTCTAACATTTTCCACTGGGACCTGTCCCACGCTACCCTTCTCCAATTGTGTCCAGCCGTGAGTTTTAAGTCATCTTCCCATCTTGTTTGTTGGCATCCTCTACTTCTTTTGCCATCTCTGGGATACCAGTCAGTAACAGTTTTGCACCACTTCTCTTGTGGATCACGCATCATGTGACCTGTCCATCTTCACTTTTGTTGGTCTATTCGGGTTATTATATCGACAACTTTGGTTTTATCCCTTATTATGCTACATCTTACTCTGTCCTGTTTCCTTATTCCAGTCAAACTTCTCTCCATGGCTCTCTGACAGCGTTCCAACTTTTCTCTGTGGTGTTTGGTGAATGCTCAGGTTTCGCATCCGTAAGTAATGACTGGAAGTATACATGTGTTGAAAACTTTCCTTTTTATTTGCATACTTAGCTCCTTAGATTTTAAAACTTCTTTCAAAGAACAGTATTTCTTCCATCCATTTCCTATTCTTCGCCCAATTTCCTTAGTGGTTTGATCTTTGTGAGATATTATCTGTCCTAAGTAGATATAGTCTGACACATATTCGAGTGGTTGGTTGTCAATTTTTATAATTACTGGTTTAGAGTTTGTAAGCAGTTTTGTTTTTTTTTTGTTCATGCTTAGGCCCACTTTCAGGCTTTCTTCATTTAGTGATTCTATCATTTTAACAAGATGCGTCGGATTTTCCTAAAATAAGACTATATCATCTGCAAATCTTAGGTGGTTCAGTCTTACACCCTGCACATTGAGACCGTATTCTTCCCAGTCTAGTTTGCGGAAGATACTTTCCAGAGCAGCCGAGAACAGTTGTGGCGAAAGAGGATCTCCCTGTCTTACTCCCCTCTCGATCTTGAACTTTTTTCCCAAGGTTTCTAGTTGAATCCTCGCTTCGCCGTTCAAGTATATGTTCTTTATAATATTGATATAATTTAAAGGTATTCCCTGCTGTTCTAGACTTTCTCATATGGCTGTGTGCCTTATGCTGTCAAAAGCTTTAGAGTAATCGATTAATGCCATATAGAGTTTTTTATTAAACTCATTATATTTTTATACAATTTGTTTCACTGTGTGTATGTGGTCCAGAGTGGAGTAATTATGTCTAAAGCCTGCTTGCTCCCGTGGTTGGTTTCGTCTAACTTTTTGCTTATTCTTTCCAGGATAACTTTAAAAAATACCTTGTAGATATTTGACATTATCTTCCTTTTTTCCTTTCTTGAATATAAGTATAATGTTTGATGTTTTCCATTTAGTAAGGATTAGACCCGTTGATAGTATTTCATTGAATAATGAAGTGAGTATTGGTAGTAGTTCTTCAAGGGTGCCTTTAATAAGTTCGTTTGTCACTTTTTCTGGACCTGGAGCTTTTTCCATCTTCTGACTATAAATAGCCTTTTCTACTTCTCTGGGAAGTATTTTTGGTTCAGTTATCACTTTTTCCTGGTTATTACTGGCGTCTTTCCTCGAATCGTGTTTTTGTTTTCTGTCTGGATTTGAGTAAAGGTCCTGGTAAAACTTTGTGGCTATTTCGTTTATGTTTTTTCTATTGGATGAGGTATTCTCCTTTTTGTTTAGTTTTGGTATCCATTCTTTATTTGATTCTATATTATATTTTGGCCTCGGAGTGGCCTTGGCGAGCCCACTTCAAATGTGTGTTGGTGGGCTGCGGCGAGAGGGGTGTCCTCTCCCTCTACAACTGGAGCCGAGGTGGAGTCACGGAGGAAGAGGAGTGTTGGTATGGCGATACGTTACTCACCCTATCCTCCGCGACGCAAACGGGGCTGCACCGTTAATGCAGTGGTGGTGGGGCTGCGGGGGGAGAAGAGTGTCGGTATTGCGAGGCGCCGCTCTCTTTACCCTCCGCAGCCGAATCTTGGTTGGCGGTGGAGCTATAGACCACAACTGCCACTGGGGTCGGGAAGGCTAGTGCTTCTGAGTGCTTGTTTTTCCTGGCCTCATGGTCTTCGTGCATCGGACACAGGGACATCCGCGTGAAGTTGGACGCCGCGGAAGAAGGCACGCCATGTGTTCTGGTGCGCTTTAACTGAGAAAGATATGGCGGAGGAGTAGTCCTCTTCAAAGAGAGACCCCATGGGGTGGCTGGCACTGGTGGAACCGCGGATGTATGCGAAAGCGTTCCCGTGAGCCTGGCAATATGCAGCGAAGGTGGAACACCATGGGTAAACAAAATGTGGACCACTCCCTCCAATAATTCAGACAAGAGCCAACTGAGAGGTCTTCCTTCGGCTGGTCTTGGTCCTGAATTTCCAATGACATCTACGTTGGGTTCGGGCGGTCAACGAGGCGTATGTGACCCCGTGAAGGAGTATCACAACAGAGGGTCTGAAAATCGTTCCTCAAAAGAAAGTTTCAAACGGGGATTACGGGTCTTCCGTGGTCTTCTTATACTGGTTCTTCGATATGTGCTACACTAGCACGTAATGGACTGTAGATTTATATTTAATGGTGAAGGATCCCTTGGGAATAAAACAGCAATTATCTTCAAACAATTCCGTGAGAGTGCAATCACTTTACCTATCACTTCCCTATATGTTTTTCTTTCTTGATTATATATATTACTGGTAGCTGGTCCCGAACGATTTGCATACCTACGTAGTCGCCTGCATGTGTGCTAAAGCACATAGCAGGTATTGCCCTCTTTGCCCGGAATCTCCTCGCGGTGCATCACTGTGCACCGATCGTGGGAGCCGATATGGCCTTGTCAGTTGCAGCAGCGACGCGGGTTCGATTACCTGGTCACTGTATGTTGGTAAAAAAAAAAATCTTCATGAAAATTCCCTGAAAATTTCGGGTATGGCCAATACCTGAAAAAGTTGTATATTATGGCCGATTTCCTGAAAAAGGCGCCTAATTCGGCCAATGCCTGAAAAAGGCGCCTAATTCGGTATTCCAGGTGTCTTATAGACGGCTAATGCGGCCAGGCGTCTAAGTTGGCCTGTCTGCGGCATTGAGGGTTGTTACTCGACTCTCTAATCGCTATAGAGAGGAGTTCTCTTGGCAGAGGTCGCCCGTCCGGAGGTCGAGCGTGAAGAGGTGCAAAATTTTGTAGGTGTTCATGTGGCCCGTTGTCGGCGTGGTCGAACATGCCGCGCGCTAGTCGGGCCACAAATTGCTCGACAGTCTCCATCTTCAAGTTGGCCGCGATGACGTCGTTCCGGACGTAGCGACCTGCACCGACGATGGTCCGTAATGATACGTTCTGCTGGACCTGTAATCGCCGCTTCTGATGATCGCTCAGGAGCGCGTACCAGGCCGGCGCAGCATGTGTAAATCTGGATCTGATATATGTTTTATAAATTTTCAGTTTGGTCTTGAGAGGTAATTTTGATGTTAGGACCGGACGGAGCGCCGCCCGCGCACATCTGGCGTTGCGGACGGTGATATCGACGTGCGCGGTCATGCGCAGCATCCGGTCGATCCGGCACCCTAGGTACGTCACTGTCTTCTGTTAAGTGATCTCCTGGCCCTGAGCGGTAGTGGTGGTAGGAAGTTCCTGTAGCGGCGAGTGAGCTGAGCGGTCGTCTTGCCAACGTTGACGGCCAACCTCCACTCGTGTAGCCATGGTGGCAGCAGGTCCAGCAGGCGCTGCATCCTGGCAGTGGCTATGTGGGCTCTTCTAGACGATGTGAAGTAGGCACTATCGTCCGCGTATAGTGCTAATTCAACATCGTCTTCCCATTCGCGCAGGTGGTCTGCCAGGGTGGAGATATCATTGGTGTAAGCCGCGTACAGGATCGGCGACAGACAGCTGCCCTGTGGTATGCCGGCTCTAATTGGTCTCGCTGCGGCCTCGTCGTCCTCTACACAGACGTAGAACTTCCTATCTCTAAGGAATGACGCCACTAGCCGCAACATAGCAGGAGGGGTACTTGTTTGTGCTTCCAATTTATAGAGTAATCCAGAGTGCCTCTATGTTGAGAAAGACGCCCAACGATGTGCGGCCGCGGTTGTACTCGGCCGCAAGATAGTGCAGCACCCTGATCAGCTGTGTTGCTGTAGAGTGGCCCCTCCTGAATCCATGCTGTTCCGCCCGAAGTTGTACGCGCGGGCGGAAGCTTCTTAGCAGCAATCTGTCGCACAGTTTAGCTAAGTGCGGTAGCAGCGTGATCGGCCTATAACTGGCTGCTCTACGCCTGTCCTTCCCGGGTTTCGGCAGCACGATAACTTTGCCGATTTTCCAGTCCTCCGGGAAGTGGGATGTCCGCAGTATGCCGTTGTAGAGTCGACCTAGCTCGTACAAGTGTTCTATTGGGCAGCTGTCGAAGTGCTGCGTTGGTTATCCCGTCGTGCCCCGGCGTCTTCCTGGGTTGCAAGCGGGCTACTGTCCTCCGCAATAGGGCGGGGGATATAAACCACTCTCCTGCAAGTGGTGGCGCGGGCGATGACAGGAACTCCTGTACGCGGCTCTTCTTCCGGGTATGAAGTTCCATGAACTCCGCACTTGCTGGGTTCGGCATAAATTCCTCCTCGAAGTGCTCTGCTAAGATATCCGCTCTACTTTTGGCCTCGTAACAACGTTCGCCCGCGTTGTTGGTCAGCGGGCAAACAGGGCGTCTGGTTTTAGTTAACTGCCGGTTCAGTTTGTAGAGCAACGCATCTTCCTCCTCTGCTTTCGATATGCGCCGCTCCCAGGCCTCTCATCTGTGGGCCCGGACTGCAACCGACAGTTCATCCGACAAGGTGTTCAGCTGCGTTTTAATTCTGGGGCAGCGAGTACGCGCCCAGAGCTTTCTCAGTGCTCTCTTGCGCTTGAGCTGCACGCAGATCTCCCATGGCAGCTCTTCCCTCCTTCCAGTGGTTGGGACGATCGTAGAGGCCGCGCGTAGGGCCTCCTGTATCGTCTTTGTGATTCTCTTTGCAGCGGCCTCTACGTCGTCCTCTGTGCTCTGTGTTGATTGGGGTATATGTTGGAAGTCTCTCCGTTAGGTGTTTCTGGTAGAGCCTCCAATTGATCTTCCTTTTAAGAGCTCCGGGCAGCGCAGTCACTGCCTTGAGGTCAAGGGTGATTAGAATCGGGAGGTGCTGTGAACTCAGGTCATACAGCACCTCTACCACTAGGTTGACGTTCCTAGAGAGCACGATGTCCAATACATCCGGACATCTCCGGTGATCCGTAGGGACGTACGTTGGTTCCTTGGGACCTAAAACGTCATAGCCGTATCTCTCGGCGTCATCATAGAGTTCACGACCCGGCGGGGTGATCACTCTGGAGCCCGACGCCGGGTATTTCGCGTTTAGGTCCCCCGCGACGATGGTGCTACGCCTTCCATTACCGTCCGGATGTCTGAGGAGCAAAATGGAGTCCCTGACGGGCAGTATGCTGCGTAGATCCTTAGTTCCTCGCCCGCCGCCTCCATTTTTATGCCGATAGAGCGCATCGTTTCGTATGTTGGCAGATCCAGTTCTTGATGGACGATGTCTCTCCTTACTAGAACCGCCGTGCGTCTGTAGGCGGTCCCTTGAGGATTGACCTCGTCCCTTCTGTAGATATGATAATTTGGCAGCTTAAGATGCGTTGATGGATTTAATTTTGTCTCTCCCAGCAATATCACCTGTATGTCCTGCTGCTGGGCGACAGTTCGGAGTTCATGGATCTTCTGTTGTATCCCGTCTAGTTTCCAGTATAGTAGTAGTAGTAGGCGCAGGTTACTCGCCTCCGTAATGCCGGGCCAGTAGTTGCGCCAACGCTCTCATAATCGCTGTCACGGGTTCCGTCCCGGCCCTTATATCGGCCAGGACTTGCACGCCGACCTCTATGGCTAGGCCGACCAATCTGTGGATGGCGTCCATGTTGCCTAGGCCGGCAGTTGGTGTTCTTCGTGATGAGGTTGGCTCTGGTCTTGGCTGGGCTTGGGTCTCTCTTCGTATGCAAAGACACCCAAGCCCAGCCGACCATAGTAGAGCATACCATAGTACTACCATAGTAGAGCGCGCTCTGATCGTAGAGCGGGCTCTATGTTCAGGTAGAGTCCTCTGGTGCTCTGCCTACGACGGTCCTTACATTCTTAGCGGTAACCTGCGCCTGGGAGACTATCGTGACCGCTGGAGTAGGGGTAGAGGTAACGGTTTGAGGAGGCTGTTGCGTGTTGCTCTTCTTCCTTCTCCCCCGCTTTTTATTTTTCGGTGCGAGACGCTCTGTAGCGTCATTAGCGGGGGGCTGGAGAGTCGCTCCGGTGGTTGCTTTTGCTTGCGGTGGATCTACTACTTCCATTGATTGATGTTGCGGGGGATGTGGTGGGGGGCTGTTTGCCTCCCCACCACACTCCCCGTGTGTATAGTTGTCCACCCCTCTTCATTAACTTCAGTCCTCGGACGACTCTGCAATCCGCTTCGGCGCTTCCGGAAGCAAGCCCGGATGTGTTATCCCTTGCTTCCGAGCGATCCTTCTCAGAACCGGACATCTGCGATCATTGGCAGTATGATTTTTGGCGCAGTTTGCGCATGTAGGTGCTTCGTCCCTACCCCTAGGGCATTGGTTTGCGGCGTGTTCCCCCGCGTAACGGACGAATTTTATTGGACGGAAACAGTTGTAGGAGGCGTGTCCAAAAGCCTGGCAGCGGTGGCACTGTGCTGGGCCTACTCGTCCTTGCCAGGCTTCTATCACGACTCCTTTCATAAATAGGAGCTCGTTTGTTTTGTAGTGATCGTTGAGCCTTTCTTGACTTAAAAGGTCTAATTGCGCGAAGTACAGGCACCCCGGCCTGCCTCTGCGGGGGGGGGGGGGGATTGCCTTCATAGCGTATTGGGAAACCTAATGCCTGGATAGCCTCCCCTATTGCTTTCGTGTCCGTGTCGACTTACAGCCCCCTAATGCCCACTTTTATGGGTTTCTCTTCGGGGGTGTAACAGTACCAGGACATGGCTGGTATTTCCTTGGTTATCTCCATTAAGTATTTATATATCTGGGGGGAGAAGCGCACCCCCTTCCCGAAAGGACGAGCATTCGGAGGGTGACCCAACTTCTTGTTGAGCACCTCGAAATGCTTCGTCCAATTCGGGAGGCATTCAGCAACAATAGGAGGATATCTTCTTTTCCCGGCTTCCTCTTCTGGTTTTGGGGCTTCAGCCACCTGCCTTGGTACTGCTGAGGCTGCTGCCAGTTGTGCGTAGCTAGTTGATGGACGTTGTCCATCGTCCGTTGGTAATCCAGACGGGTTTGTTGGCTGTCCATCCTAGGGGCTAGGGTAGCATACGTGGTGCTATCCCAGCCGTATGATTCCTCCCCCCCCCTGCTCGTACCCGGCCGCGTTGCTACGTCGGTTAGGGGAGATAGGAGGGGTTGTTTTCCTTGGAGACGGCGACTTCGGCGGCGTGTTATACGTCCTGACTTCAACCGCTGGTAGGTGATCTTCTTCGTCCGAAGATGAAGGTGCAGACGAGTTGGAAGACACGACGCATTGTCTCTTCTCATACAAGGATGCTTTCTTTTCAGGTGGTGTGTGCCTCCTGGCCGACTTCTTGGCCTGCTGCGGTAGGGGCGTCGGTTCGCGTTCGTTCGTGCACTCAGGCGCGGTGAGCGCGAGCGTGGCGCTCGATGCGGGCTCCTTAGGCGGCAAAGTAGGCTTCCTAGTAGTCTTTGGTATTTAGCTAAACGAGCTCACGATCCTGGAGCGTTCCGGGTTCGTGAGGTCCCTAACCAGTAGTGGTCGATCCAATATCCCCGGACAGTCCGGGGGTTTCCTAACGCGAGGGGTGGGGGGGGGCTCCCCCTCGCCCCTGCCGGTCAGTACAGTTTGTTACGACTGTTTTGTTGTGATTGCAGTATGTGTCGATCTATTAACCCTACCTAACGTGGCAGACGTGACTTAGCAAGCGACGCGCGACGTTCGGAACGGGACGGGAGCGATGATGGGTGGCCGCAACACTTAGGCGCACTGCCTACCCCTTTCGTTACGAAAGTGTTGGGGGAAGTGCTTGAGAGCACTCGCGCACGCGACTGACACACAAGGGCACGGAACGCGCTGGAGTGCCAAGAATCTGCCTAAGGGCCGGTGACCTCTACGCCTCGCGGAGTATGCGGACTCGACGCTTAGCGGAGTATGTCGTACCGGCGGCTGCTTGGGACCACTGCTAATCCTCAAACAGCACACACTTAGGAGATCCTTGTGGTGGTGGGTGGGGATTTGCATGAAAACCAGTTTAACGAGCTACCTCAACGCTTTACTCGAAAGAGAGCCGCGCCCTCTGTGCGCTTTCGCAAGTCAATTACATCAAATTTCTACTATTACACTCCCACGGTTTGCCCAATATCTTTATTTGTATAAGACATACATTTATACATTTTATTTATAAAGATAGCACAACAAAATATATATACTATGATATGCATTAAATTTCAATATCACAAAAAACCTTTTATTTATTCTACAAAATATGCCTATTTTACAATATATGTACTAAGTTAGAATTCTTAACTATCTAACATAATATAAGGTTGGAACAGTGTTCTTTATTTGAAAATACAAATATCTTAACTAATACAATAGTTTAATTCACATTTTTATACTTATTTTTATATTTAAATCACTTTTAAATTTCTTATACAAAACTATCAATATATCACTATTTTAGAGGAATATGTATATAAAATTAACACAGAATTCACCTATTTTGCTTATACAGTCAACCTGAAACATTTTACAAGTCAATTATACATGAATTGCTGAAATTCACAGAAATTCAAATTTCCATTTATTAGGCCCCCTAAATTGCAAATTAGCACGCGGCTTTTATATAGTGCTAGGTGAACAACTAATTCTCATACGACTCTCAACAGGTCGGTAAACTAAATGCAAATTAGCGCGCGGCTTTTATCCGACGCTATGTGAACAACTAATTTTTACACGACCCCCAAC